TTAGTAAAGTGAACTTTTTGAGGGAGATTGCGAATTGGAGGAGCGACTGCGATTGAAGGCATTAAAAGCTGAAAATATACTTATGTGTTAATGACATAAGTGATAAAAAATGTGGTCGCAAGAGAAGGACTTTTCCTAGTAGTTTAAATATTTATTTCAGAGCGAATGAGACCAAGAAATGTATGTTTGGTTTCAAATGACAAACAATTTTTATGACAAAAATTGTAATACATTTTGTGGAATGACATAAACTCATGTCCATTTTTTATATGACCAAAAATTTAGGTCTAGTTTTTAGTAATGCATGCACATTTTTTAAGTAAACAAAAAAGTACAAAAATTTATATCCAGTTTTCAGACTAACAAAAAAAATTTATTCAATTTTTAAAGTGCCAAACATGTACATTTAGTTCCTAAATAACTAAAGCATAATGTCTAAAAGCATGCCCGGATTTACGTAATCAATTTAGGCAGAGGTTTGAAGCTAGCAAAAATCTACGTGTGAATTTTAAATGATCAAAAATCGGTGTCCAATTTTTAGATGAACAAAAATTTATATTCAGTTTATAAATAAGCAAAAAAATATGTCCAGTGCTAAAATATCCCAAAATTCATGCATAATTTTTAAATAGCCAACTTTGAAAAATTATGTCCAGTTAAATTATCAAATTTTTTTTTTCAGTTTTTTAATGATTAACGATTTATTTGCCAGTTTCAAGTCATCAAAAATTTTTAGCCGGTTTTAAAGGCCAAAGATTTGTTTTACAAGTTATAAACAAACAATTCCAAATTATAAAGAATTTTTGGCCAATTTTTAAACTGCATACTAAAAAATTATGTCTAGTTTTTTAGTTACCACGAATAAAAATTCAAGCTTTAAATTGATCAAAACGACCATATGTGATGTACAACTTTTGAATAAACCAATTTACAAATAAAAATTTCTTCTAGACAAACAAAAAGCCTTTGCAGTTTCTAAATTATCAAGAATTTTCGGAAAATTTTTAAACTAAATACATATTAAAAAATTATGCCTAAGTTTTTAGTTAACAAAAACAAAAATTCAAGCTTTAAGTTGATTAAAATTTTTGTAAATTTTCTAAATAACCAAATTTCGTGTTCAGTTTTTAAACGACCATATGTATGTGATGTCCAACTTTTAAATAAACCATAAACCATCAAATTAGCAAAAAGAATGCCACTAGTTTTTAAATTACAATGGGGTTTGTGTCTAGTTTTTAAATCATCCGAAAATTATGTCCAACCAAACAACCAAAGCATTTGTTCAATGTCAAAATGTATGCCCATTTTTCGCACAACCAAAATTTTATGGCTGAATTATACGTAAATTGCGAAAATGATGTTCACTTTTTAAATGTCTTGAAAAATTTATACTCAATTTTGAAAACCCAAAAAATTATGCACATATAGTTTCAAGCTGTCAAAAAATTATGCATAATTCTAACTGTCCAGCGTTTAAGTTAGAACGTTTTTCCAACTGTCCCCTTATTGTTGTGTCCTTGTTGAACACGAATTGTATCTCTCCGATGCCGCTAACTCAAAATAGTGTCATGACTATGCAGTAATTCCCATAAAATTTGCTGACAAATTTTATTATCCTGCATTTTCGTATAAAGGACATTTTTTCTAATATTTTGTTTATAATATCAAACGACATAAGCCATTAGAAAATCAGTGAACGTAAACGCGCTATAAAAAAGCAACGAAACAAAAAAAAAGCAGCACCAACAACAATCAAGTTATAACACTAAGCTTACCAACCAGTAAAGCCACGAATATTGCCATCAAAATACAAGTTGGTTATGCTTTGTTGGCTTGACTGCGTACGTTTGCAGCTCTGTATTTTTATCGTTAACTGTTTTGGTGTTCGCCACGGGGACAACTCAGTTAACACACACACTCTCACACGGCACACGCGCAAAAACTTTCCTACATATTTATACTTCACTGTGTAGAAAGCAGTTTAGTACTTATGTCCACCCAACGCTTTGTTGTGGGCAGCTCCTTTGTTGTCTTAGCGCTTTTTTGGCTTCCATACGTTTTGGCTATTTGTTCAGCTGATGAGTAATAGTCATACCGAAAGTCGTCTAATACTACTTACCACCGACAGACACTGACTTGGTCGAGGTGGTGGTTAACGCCAAGTAATGGTGGTTTTTAATGCTTGCTGCTGCTAGTGTGCTCACTACTTTGTAATGCTTGCGTTTGGGTTGTTTTCGACCCCAAGATAGAATGTGTAAGTTGTGCATGACTTATGGTCTAATTATGCATACTTCGCACAACTTCGCATAAACTTCAAACTGTAATTTCGTTTGTACTTTGTATATGTTTTGTATCTATTTCATTACCCATAAATTAGCAGAACTTTTAAAAACTTAGCGATCTGTTGAGTTAAGATTTTGCTTCACATTTTCTTAAGTTACAATTCTATTGCACTGGTACAAATAGTTGTGCGAAGTTATGCGAAGTATCCATAATGGGACCTTTATAGTATTCGGTAGTGAATTGCAAACGCATTTTGACTTTTTTATTGATTTATCAAATTTTTTAGGAAAAAGAAGAGATTGTGTGCGATCAGTTAAAGTTTATTTATCCAAAATAATTTTTATATTTCTCCACTCTGGACTCAGTGCGGAATAAATGAGATAGATGATTTGTTAAATATTTTGATAAATATGTTGTTATTTAAACCGGTAAATGTTATGATAAAATTTACGACAATCAATAGCATATCGATAAATTTATAAATGAGTGTGGTGATAATATTATTTAGTATAGTTCATTGGTATAGGTTTTCCAAATATTGAAGCGGTAAATTTCTTTGTAATATTTAAATCGATAAATTTTTCGATGACAACATCGATAAATTGTTCAATAACATTATCGTTAAATATATACGTAGATAAATATGTCGATAAATTGTAGAAGCAAATATCGATAACATTTCGGTGAAAATATCGATAAATATATAAACTGTATAAACCGATATTGACCTAAACGATTATATCATTGAACACATATCGATACCTGAGTGGAAGATCGAGTTATCTCGGCAGCCAGCTCAAAAACGCCCCATCTCAAAAATCTTTTAAAGAACGCCCTATTTCAGAATTTGATTAAAGAATGTCCTAGCTCAACAAATTTTCAATGAATTTTCGAACTGGCTGCCGTGAAAGGTCGATGTTCCACTCAGGTGACGATATGTAAATATGCATCTGCATATCGTCATTTAAAGTACAAAACCGCGTATCGTCATTCTGCAAACCCGCGTAACTGACATTGGCTGCCAAAAATTGGATTTGCTCACACAAGCTCTTGGCTCAATCCTTATCCATTCGTCCTGAAATATGCTAGCCAGAAATGCGATTGCTTTATAAAAAAGATAACCATTTTGAAATATAAGTGTTTTTACTCTCTAGAAAACTAGAAAATAATTTATGCAATCTTACATACGCGGGTTTGCATTTTGTTGATACGCGGTTTTGTACTTTAAACGACGATATGTATGTATCGATAACAAGTGGGATTACAAGAAATCAAAATTTTGATATCTTGTCGAATATAAATTACATACCATCTTTAGTTCGAATGTGTCAGAAAATTAAGAAAGCTAAATAAATATATATATTTTTTTTTTATAAATTTTGCTAAACTCCCACTAGAAACTCAAAGGACACCAAGCTAATGGCGGCCACCAAAGCAGAATGTAGGGTGTGCGTTAGGAGTAAATTCTTCTCTGTAAACTTTCCAGGCCCATTAATGAGCCTCAGTATCTTTCCGGTCTGCTATATTTATTCTGTCGAGTTTGTATCAAAACTTAGTATTTCTTGGCGAAAGCGGGTTTAAAATTGTCGGTATTGATGGGTATCGAGCTATTCGCCTAGGTACCCAGGATAGCTATAAAAGTGAGTGAATTCGTATAGCCACAAGGATTAGTGGGCAACTTCGGCAAGTGTATGCTTGAATTTGTTTATAAGAGTTTCTCCATTCGCTTAGTTTTACAGATCACTTCATTCATATAGCTGTAATTAAGGATCGATAGGGTTACCAACTAGCTTATAATTTTATACGAAAATTTACCTATACAAAATATGTATTGCAATCGGAGTCTCAAACCAAAGTAATTTTGAAATACAATGGTTCAGTAATATTTACAAGTAGATTTACCAACCACATATCGAAATGAGTGAGATCAATTATTTATGCATATTTTTTATGGGTATAAAGCGAAAGGTGTATTCTTCTGGAACAATAGGGCTGCAATTTCTTGCTACTACATTTTTAAATTGTTTGAACCCCATATTTCCATGCCAACATCAAGTGAGAGCTATTTAAGAAGGCTTAAATTCCAAGAAGATCCGTTGAGGGGTAGTCACCTAGCCAAAAAGGGTAAAAATAACGAAATAATTTAGGCGTGGTAAATGTTTCAGTGTAGAAATTAAAATTAAAGTATTTCAGAAAATTGTATTTCTTAATTTTTTACGAACAGAGTTTCCATTTCTTGGCATATAAATAGTAAATTAAGCTGAAAAATTGCACAAAATATTACGGAAGAGCTTTAAAGAAGTTAATTCGTGATATTTGAAGCCAACTAAGTAAAACAATTAAAATTTTTTGAATAGGGTTGCCATTTTTTGTTTTGGTAAATGGGTCTTAAATAAAAGGAAATTTATTATTTTGAAAATATTTTCTAAAACAACTGTAAAAATTTGAAATCCGTAAAACAAAATATTATAAAAAATTTCAACACTGGCGCAAAATACAAAATTTTAGTAATAAAAAAATCTAATAAAATAAAAAAAAAATCCGTACAAGTTAGGGGAAATGCGTAACAAGTTTGAATGAAAAAAGTTATGGAATAAAAAATTAAAAATTCTTTCCAGGTTTTTTAATTAGCTCGCAGGAATATTTAATAAAATATTTAAAGCTATCGTCAAAAAAGATTCCTTACTCATAAACATTTTTTTCTTTACTTGCAGATTTTACGGTTTTTAGTGGACTTTAAATATTGATTCAAAACCAAAAAATATTAAATACAAAATATTTATGCTAAAAAGATTAGAAAAAAGTAAACTCTTATAAAAACTGCACATTATATACTAGAATAAAGCAAAGAATAACTGAAAAAAATACTAGAAAATCTATCAGCAAAAAATCATACAAGTATTTACAAGTCCGCAGCAAATAAATGCAAAAACAAAACAAAAATTAAAAATTAAATTAAAACCACTAAAGCGCCAACTACAACAACGCTAGTCAAAAAAAAAAAACTAGAAGTTATACCAAAAAATATAAATAAATAAAATATTAAAAATTATTTAAAAAATTACTAAAAATTATTTAAGCAAAACAATATTACAAAGCTTATAAAATCGCATACACATCAACCTCAAAAATTAATTTACTTAAAAAAAAAAAAATCCAAACTAATTAATTTACTCTGTACAACAACGAAGAAAGTACGAGTAAATTCGAAAAACCTGAATTTCAAAAACTCAAAAGAAAAACACTCAAGAACTCACTTGCTCAGCTGCAAGTAAGCGCAGCAGCAACAAAGTGCAAGAATAAAAATTTGCATCTCACACGCTTTTCCAATTTCCATTTATAAACGGAAAGCTGCGCGAGAGCACACACACGCCAAAGAACGAAATAACAATTGCAACAGCAACAACAAAAACATCAGCTAAAGCAACCGCTGCATAGACAACGCGGAGTCGCAATTGCTTGAAGTTGCAGCGCTAGTGCAAAAAAGCCAACAACAACAAAAAGTTATATTAAATCAAATTTAGTGCAGAAAATTTCGCGCTCTCTTTTGGCCGTGGCGACGTGCTGTTGCAGCAGTCGTGCCATAACGCAGAAAACAGTTAGTCATCAACGGCGCTTGCCAACAGAGTGACTCGAACTAGTACATGCCACAAGAGTGAAGCAGAAAGTGCGCGTAGACAAGCCGGCAAATAGCAAAGAACTACGCAGCGAAAAATTGAGGAAAAAATATTTGAAATTTGAAAATTTTTATAAGAAATTCTTAAGGAATTTCCGTGAATGTGATTATTAGTGCATACTTGAACCCACAATTAAGCCAAGACACAAACCAAACAAAGTAGAAATACCAAAATTATTTCGAACCGAAAGAAAAGACTGATTTGGATTTGAAACTTCCAAGAAGTTTTGAATTCAAAAAATCGTGTGTAAGTAGAGAAGCGAAAGCGAGGTTCCTGCCTCAGATAGAAGAAGAATTGTGACGTTTTCAAAACTGCACAATTGCGCGTGCTGAAGTGCTAGTGAAGGTTCCTGTTAAACGTTAGAAAGCAAAAACCAAAAAAAAAAACCAAAAAGTGACAAAATATTATTAATTTGCGCTTAAGTTCCGACTAAACGCGTTTCTAAGTGCTTAAGGCAAACAGCTGGAAAACCCCGTTTAACAACTACAGTGACTCAAACCAAATTTGCCTAGACCAGAAAACCATTTAAATCCAACTTAATAACCTTTGACATTTCCGCTGCGCTGCTGCTGAGCGCTCAATAAAAAAATCCACAACAACTTCAACCCAACTACAGCTTACAACAAATCCACGTTCAGAAAACACTACACCACACCAATCGACAAGTGCGCACGCGCCACTTAGAACAACAATGGCCAACGGTAACGGTAACAACGCAAGCGCCGCCGCAACTGCTGTCACCAGCAATGGTGAAGGCAACGGCTTGGCCACCAATGGCGGCATAAGCACCACTACGACGAATGGTGTTGGCACAACAGTCGCTGAGCATTTGAATGGCGGCGGTGGTGGTGAGAACGCAGAGCATGTCAACGCCACTCCAACTGGCCAGGACACTGGCAATGGTAATGGCCACGATGCCGCTGATACTGAGACGGGTGGCGCTGCAGCTGGCGGCGATACCACAGAAGGCGGCGACGGTGGTGGTGGTGGTGTGGGCGGTAGTGTTGGTGGTGGTTTAGGCGGTGCCGCTTCCACCTCATCAATGGGCGGCGATGATGCTGGCACCGATGCGGGCGCCAGCTCATTGCCACCGTCCGAAGAGGCGGGCGGTCGTCCGCCACTCGATACCGCTTGCTCTGATGGCGGTGGTGGTCCGTCGAGTTTGGGTGGTGGCATGGTTGGACCACCAAGTCCACTAACCGGTTGCTATCTGCTGATCGTGCTGGGTGAGCCACATTCGGAGGAGCATAAGGATAATATATTGCAGCATTTGTTGAAGGGTGAGTAGGAAATATTTACTAAATAGTTTTTTATTTAATTTGAAAACAGATTTGTTTTAAGAGACCCTACTGAGTATTCACTTTAAAGTATATATCTAACAGTTTTACTATTTTTTATTGCAAAGCAAGCTAAAAGTTGTGAAAATTCGTGAATAAAACCCGAAAGTTCCTTAAAGTGCTGGAGAGTACTAGAAACGCGTCGCCTGCTTTGTGGGAACAACTATTTGAATGTCATCAAATCGCTGGTTCCGATTGGTATTATTTAAGCTCAACTGCACGGTGTCGCGGAAATATCATGTCTATGTCTGTGGCTCGTTTAGTTATGCGAGCTGCAGACATGGAAGATATCGCAAAGAATTAGAGGAGTGGGATACTGATTGATTTGTTTCTCTCAGCACGCATACCTAAGAACCAGATCAGTAGAATCTGTTTTGCATACAATTCCTAAAGTCGTAGGGTAGTATTTTAAGACCAAAATACTTCTTGGTTTGTACCTTCCTCGATATCGACGGATTTTAATATGTAATATGCTACCGAAGGCGGCAGTAAAACCCCTTAGTAAGCTCAGTGTCGATAACAGCGGTATAACTGTCGTAGCCGGGTCGGGGAAGTCCCTACGCAGAAAGTAAGGTCGGCATCATCAGAGAAAAGCTGGAGAAGTTTAACTTTGTCACAAATAGACGCTCGTCTTATTTCCCAGGAGATTCATAGCTCCTTACGCCCAGCTTTCCTCAATCGGTAGAGTTCAGTATCTGCTCTCTTAGGGGGTTAAGTACCTAGGCGTATGCCCTTGCAGGAAGCTGGAAGCCAAATACTGATTGAACAAGTAAAAATACTTAATTTGCTCTACTAAGCTGTAATAGTGTCTTTGGAATGACATGGGACCCCTCTCCAAAATTGATATACTAATTTTTTATTCCGGCTTTTCAGACGAACGTTCTACAATACATAATTTTTCTTCCCTGTCTGAAACGCTAATATTCGAAATGAGAGAAATATAGTATACAACTGGCTGTATGAAACAGTAAAAATAGCTGCATATGATGTATGTATAGAGTATTGGTCTAATGGAATTATGTAGAAAAAATTAAAATTAGTTAAAAAGTAAGAGTGCGTGGAAAGAGCTGGCCTTGTTAGAGTCACCAGGACGTTTCGGACTCTACTACGTAAAAATATGGATATACTGGAGACTTCTTCAGTGAACATATTCTTGGAGAGATCAAAGTTGGATGATAGTTAGGGTGCCCTTAATCTCAAATTTAGGTTTCCAGATTTCTGCAGGACGTTTCAAGCAGAGGTTAGCGCCTTATATTGGGCAGTAGACCGGCTAAGTATTTTTGTAATGCCAATCAGGAGTACAAATATCTACACTGACAGCCAATTAGATATCAGCGCTATATTGTCTGACCTCCCTCGCGATGACCCGGATTGCTTACAAACCTGGATTGTATGCGATCCGAGGCACAGCGACACTACCGGGAACTGCATAGCAGCCGAATTGTCTGGGCGGTCTTCTCATAGGCATTTAAGTCTTTAGCCGGCTCAAAGAGAGATGGGCGAAAACTCCGAAATGCTAAGTTTTACAGTTTTTTGGCCGCTTGTGGGCCGCAGACGGTATTCGGAGTTTCTTCAGCTGCCTAAGCGCGTAGTCTCACAGGAACACATGAATTAGATCGGTTATGAACTGTGGCTTCATATATTTTATGCTACCTATATACATACATATTTTTTATAAGTATACGCAATTAAAGTAAAAGCTCTCTGTAACCATCACTGCCTTAATACATTTCTGACTAGAAATAGGCGAAATAAAGAGAGTAGATGGCAACTAACACTTGTTTCCTAGGCTTCTCAACAGGATATTACCGACCAGCATTGAGTGTTCCAACGCCTAATTGGGGAATAAAAGAAATCCTTGAACAAAGTGTGATATGATTTTTGTATAGCAGTGGCGACCACATAGAGCTTTTACTTTGCTAAGTGTTAGACGTGATAAATACACAGTCCACTTGATTTGTCACCACCTGATGTCAACTTCCGCAGAGAATCAACCATATAGCATCAGTTCTCTCTAAACTCCAGGGAGTTTTCTAAATTCATACCTGCATTACATCTCCAGCAGGACTGAAAAAATTCTCTCGTATTAACCCCTTCAGGACGAATGGAAATATGCTTCCCAAAAAGTTTTTCTTTTCAAGAAAACCCGGGTTGCAACTCAATCAATCTGCGTGGGCTAAGGTCGTATTCTTACCAATGCTAGAAGGCTGATCAAATTCTCCATTTTTAACCCTTTCAGGATGAAAGGAAAAATGCTTCCTATAAAGAGTTTCTTCTCAAGAAAGCTGTGAATCATTTTAAAGTTTTCTGATTTTTACAGTGTGCCTCATTTTTACTTACCATATTTATGTCACAAAATTAAAAAAAAATATTTTAACCAAACTATACAAATTTACCTTAAATTAGAAACAAACTTTTAGAAAAGAAGATAGCTATAGAAAAAAATTATAGAAAAGAAAATAAATGTTTAGAAAAAGAAAACTTTAGAAAAAAATATGCACTTGTGAGAATTTTAGAACAAAATAATTTTTAGGAAAAATAGTGTTTTTTGGAAAACGGAGTAATTTTTAGAAAATATTTTTTAAAGGAAGAAATCTTTTTATTTGTTGTTATTTAGAATTAACATCATAAAATAACATTAAAGAACAAACTAGCAGGGCGACAGGCTTGAAATTTTGTTAGCAAATATATTTCTACCTAAAGCCGAAAAAATTATTCAAACAGAAAAAAAATGTTTTCCTTATCTTCAAAATAGGAGGTGATTCTCATTTCGTTGTGCCGTTGGTTTAGTAACACAAAAGCTCTTGGAATCATGAATACATAGATATGTACCAGGCTCATCAGTCAAACCGCCTGAAAAAAGAACTCATAGATATCACTGCAATTTATTTCTGCTTCACTTCCTGTAATCAGCTAAAGGAAGTCATTAAAGGTTGACATTTTAATTCCCATAGAAAAAATGTAAGCACATACTTATCATTACCAACCACAAAATGAGAAAAAAATATATAAAATCGCATAAACGAAAAATCGATAAACTCACAGCGACGCTTCGTTGCATTTCGAATGGTCATTCAGAGAAGAAGAAATTCTTAAAAAAATAAAAAATAATGCAATAAATCTGCAACACGCAAGCGTAGCTGAATTTTATGACTCAGCTAATATCAGTGTAGCACGCGCAGAATTTTCTTTTTCACTATTTTCTAATTACAGTTTTATTGTTTTTACTTTTCTTCTATTTGTTACATTACAGAAAAAAAAGAAAGGAAAAAGTAAGATTAAAGACAGGAAATTAGAGCAACAGCATAAATTTTACAATGCCGGTTATTGCAAGTGCGGTGCCAGTAAAAAATCAAATGCCTAAATGTTGCAATAAATTTTTTATAATTTTATGTTTGTTGTTGCTGCTTGTTTGTTTAACTAACAAGTTTATGATGTGCAAAGAACTGTCGAGGCAGTAAAGTGTTTGCGTGTCACGCCAAATGAGAAATATATCCATGTTTAAGAAAAGAGGCCGGCATGCGGCTTAATGATTTGCTGAATTAGCGCCAGCTTCGTGAATTTTGGACATTTCTAAGAACAGAACTCAATACCAAGTTTTCTTCAGGAGTTCAGGCTTTTAAGGCATTCAGCATGTTGTTGAGCTTTAAGTTGTATTAGCTGAATTGAGTGCTGTAAGCTTCAAAAAAGCTGAAGGACCGAAAAACTTGATTTGGAGTTCTACGCCTTATTCAGCTTTAAGTTGTATAGCTGAATTGAGTGCCGAAAGCCTGAAAAGTGCTGTAAACCCAAAAAAAAACCGATGCGAAGTGACACAGTAGCACTTGGCAAGCTTAGAGCTGAATAAGCTTGCTGAATAACTATGCAAAGAATAAAATTAAGTTGTGTTGGGTGACTTGAAATAATTTCATACAGAAACAGTTAAGTAATAGCTAAATTTGTGGCTGAATTATTATTTTTTTCAATTGGCATAAGCAATTCGATTACAGATCGAATATCATAGCTGAATTAATGGTAAAACAAGTAACCATTAAACATCATGGATATACCAGAGCTATTGTTAAGTATTAGCTGAACATATAGCTGAAAAAACTGTGTGCTGAATGATTTAAACAAAAAAAAACAGCCGAATAGGCAAATGAAAAAATTGTTGGCCAAAAAACTGATACAAAATAACTTTATTTTATCTTATTGAGTAATTAAATAGGCAGCTGAATAAGTTTTGTCTAATAATAAAAGCAAAAAATAGAAATTTTAACATTTTTTTGCTAAAAACTTACATAAATTATCTTAGTATATGCTGCTTATATAGTGGAATATTCCGCTTAATATCCAGCTGATTAGGTTTTGTGCTGAACTACTTGCTGATTAATTTAAACAAATAAAAATTAAAATTATTTTACTACAATTTTCTATAGATAAAATTTTGATTGATTATGCCGCTGAATAAATTATGTGCTGAATGAGTAGCTTAATAACGAAATCCAATATTTAACTTGGAGGCAGAACAGGTAAAAAAAATTGTTGGACAAAAAACTTATATATAATATTAAATTTTTTTTTAATGAATAATGGAATAATTCACTCAATAGCTCGCTGAATAAGCATTGTGCAGAACTTTTAATTGAACTAATTAAAAAAATTGAACTGGCTGCGCAGTTGGTTGAATAAAGTAATTGCCAATTTAGCAGTTGAATTGGAAAGATAATAACATTTTTGCTAAAAACTGACATAAAATATCTTAGTATTAGTTGCTTATGTAGTTGAAAATCATGCCTAAAAGCCAGCTGAATAAGTTTTCTGCTAAATTATTAGCTGAATAATTTCAACAATGGAAACTGAAAATTAATTTAATAAAAGTTGCTATAGACAAAATTTTTGCTGAATAAATTATGTGCTAAGTTAGTAGCTTCATAAGAAAATCAAACATATTTCTTAGTGCA